GCACCTCCGACAGCGCTCGGCAGCGCTGTCCCAGCGTCAGTGCACATGTGACCTCGAGCCAGACGCTCGTGCCACGTAGAGTAGACCTCGGGTCGTGCCAGCAGTGCACCCGAGTGTTCAGTGCCGCGCCTTAGTGAACCCGAGCCGTGTTTAGAGTCAGTTGGCCCGGGACGTGCCCAGCAGCACGCCCGGAAGCACCCTGACAGCCTTAGCCACGCCCGAGCCGCACGAGTAGTGCCTGGCTGTGTTAGTTCTCGTGCCAGACGCACTCAGGTCGTGCCAGCCGCACGCCCAGTGCCCAATCAGCCCGGGTACGCGGCAGCCCCGCGTCCCTCGTGTTCGGTCGAGCCCAGCAGCGCACCAAGCGCCCAGCAGCGCCTAGCACCGAGGCCGGTCACACCCAGCTCGTGCCTAGCACCGTGCCATGGCACCAGCAGGCCCGGCACAGGATCGAGCCCGGCCAGTCCGAGTAGCCCGTGACCACCCGGTCCAGAGTGAACCGGTGGTCTGACCTGGTCCGGTTCAGCCCGACCCGGTTCAGTTACTGAGCGAACCGTCCAGTTTAGCCGGCGGTTCGAGTCAGTTTTTGGTTCGAGTATTTCGGTCCGAGTTTTATTCCGAAATTTAAGTAATTTTCTGAGCCAAACCAAATCAGTTGAGCACATCAGTTTGAGTTCCGGACTTAGAATTATTTTGGTGAACCCATAGAGCGTTCCTTTATATCCGGATGAGTAATCTGATAGAGTAGAGCATCCTACCATATTATTGAGCATATGACGAGCATAGTACTTAGTATATTTGTTTGCTTATATTTTTATGTAGCTTGAGGAGTCAGCTACCAGCACAGCCTCACTTACCTATTTTCAAAGCAGATCAGGTGGGGACCCAGTCTGGGTTATACATTGAGTATAATAGTCGATATCATGTTCAGGTATGTATATGAGTTTTATCCGCTTGGGGTTAAGGCCGAGTTGTCCTTCTCTAAGTTCTGGTGGTGGCCCAGTTCTTCTTAAATATACCATCAGAGTGTGCACACGGTACCGGCCAGAGTGTCCGGGAGTTTCAGTTACTTATATATATCGGATCTGTGATATTATTATTATTATTGTTGTTTACTTTAGAATGAGTTTTTATGGAGTACAAGTGGACCGTACTCACGCCAACTTTATATTTTCAGATGGCAGGGTCGGCGGGCAGGCGTGAGTCGAGCTGTGGTGGTTGTGGTTGTGAAGATGGCACAGCGAGCCGTTTCCGAGACATTTGTTGTCATGTTTTGTATAACTAATTATCTCCACGCATTTTCAGACTTTCCGCTATGCTTGTTTTTATTTCGAACTTGCATGACAGTACTTTCAGACTTAAATAATTTAACCAGTTCGCCAGTACGAACGGGACCAGTTAAAAATGCAAGATTCGATAGAAGATTTAAATATGATTTTCTTAAAGTCTAAACCAGTTGATAGACCTAGTTAAGGAAAACGGATTTTCAAAGCAAATAAGTTTTTAGCAGCATCCCGAGATAAGTTTGCAAATGATTGTGAAAAAATTATAAGCGTTTTCGAAGGTAACATTTGCGAAAAATTGGCCCTAAGTATCGGGGTGTTGCAGGACGCAACATCCGGGCACGAATTAATGAGCTTCATGGACGCGTATTTTGGATACAACTAGATCCCAATGAGCCCCGACGATGAGGAACACACATCGTTCTGCTCCGCTCGCGGATTGTATTGCTATAGGATGATGCCCTTCAGGTTGAAAAATGCGGGCGCCACCTATCAGAGGCTGGTGAATAGGATGTTCTCGGATATGATTGGTGAGACCATGGAGGTATATGTCGACGACATGCTCGTCAAGTCAATAACAGGGGCCGATCACGTGACCCACCTCACCCGGATGTTTGTTGTTCTCCGCGCATACTCCATGATGTTGAACCCGAAGAAGTGCACGTTCGGGATAAGCTTGGGGAAGTTTCTCGGATATATGGTCAGCCAGCGGGGAATCGAAGCCAACCCCGATAAGATAAAGGCAATAATTGAACTGAAACCACCTACATCGGTAAAGGGCGTCCAGTGCCTCACAGGGCGGCTGGCCGCCCTAAGTCGGTTCATATCCAAACTTACTGACCAATGCAAACCATTCTTTGAAGTCATAAAAAGAGATAGAAGATTCGAGTGGACGCCGAAGTGCCAGGAAGAGATAGAAGATTCGAGTGGACGCCGAAGTGCCAGGAAGCGTTCGAGGCCATCAAGGTTGCCCTGGCCGACCCCCCTGTGTTGACAAAGCCTAATCAAGGTGAAGTCCTCTACATATACCTCGGAGTGTCGGAGTAGGTGGTAAGCGCTGTTCTCATTCGGGAGGACGGACCTCAACAATTCCCGGTCTACTATGTGAGTAAGTCGCTGTATGATGTTGAGCTCCGATATTCCCCAATGGAGAAACTGTCCTACGCGTTAATCACGGCGACTCGGAAACTGAGGCCTTATTTTCATGAACATTCCATTGTCGTCCTAACGACGTACCCGTTAAGGCAAATCTTACATAGGCCGGACGTGTCTGGTCGGATGATCAGATGGGCGGTCGAACTCGGGCAATTTGACATTCACTACAAACCGAGGGTGGCCATCAAAGGACAAGCCTTGGCCGAGTTCACCCTCCTCCTAGAACTTGTAAGCGGGCATGAGGCCTGGACGTTGTATATGGAGTCCACCGCAAAACGAGCAGGAGGCGGAGTTGTCTTAGTAAGCCCCAATGTGAGACTCTATTGCCACTCAATTCGTTACCTGTTCGCAGCCACCAACAATGAGGCCGAATATGAGGCCCTGCTATCCGGACTATCGTTGGCCGAGTCCATGGGAGTAAAGAAGTTGAACATTTATTCCGACTTGCAACTTTTGGTCGAACAGCTCGCCAACGAATTTGAGACGAAGGAACCGCGGCTCGTCCCATACGTAGCCCTGACACGAGATAAGTTGTCACGATTTGAAGCTCACGTTGAACACATCTCAAGGGAGGAGAACACCCAAGCAGACGCCCTGGCCCGTTTGGCATCCAGCACAGGAATGGACAGTTCGGAGTACGTGATGATAGTGCAACAAGAGAAACCGTCAGTCTAAATCTGCGAGCGCTCAAGCCACGAAGTGTTCGCTGCGATAAAGTGTGGGGGATGGATGGAACCGATACTAGAATATTTGGAAGCAGGGTCGGTCCCGGAAGACTTAAAGGAAGCAAGGTCATTGCGGATCCGGGCCGTGCGCTTCACCTTGATTGACGAAGTGCTATACAAGAGGGGATACACTCAACCACTTCTTAGATGTCTAAACGAAGAAGAAGCTGCTAAGGTACTCACAGAAATCCACGAAGGAACTTGTGGAAGCCACCTTGGGGGTCAATCACTAGCCCACAAGGTCCTGCGACAAGGGTACTACTGTCCTTCCTTGAAGAAGGATGCCGCCGATCTCGCAAGAAAGTGCGAAAAATGTCAACTGTTCGCCCCGAACATAAAACAGCCGGCTCAGCCCCTGAAGTCAATTTTTGGATCATGGCCATTCGTCAAGTGGGGAATCGACCTCATTGGCCCCCTACCCACTGGAAAAGGTGAAGTAAAGTTCGCAATAGTGGCGGTCGATTACTTCACGAAATGGGCAGAGGCCGAGCCTCTATCTTCGATTGGCGAACAGAAGGTCATCAGCTTTATCTGGAAATCGATCATCTGCAGGTTCGGCGTCCCGCACTCGGTAGTCACGGACAACGGCAAGCAGTTTGAAGGAAGAAAGTTGGAGTCATTCTTGGAAGAATTTGGAATTAAACATTTTTTCTCGACCCCGTACCACCCGCAGTCTAACGGACAGGTGGAGGCGGTCAATAAGATCGTAAAACAGGGATTGAAAATAAAGCTTGATGAGGCCAAGGGATCATGGCCTGAAGAGCTGCCGTCAGTATTATGGGTATACCGAACGACCGCAAGAAATTTCACTGGAGAAACGCCGTTCTCTATGGCGTATGGATCGAAAGCGATGGTCCCAATCGAGATGGACATACCAACCTACCGGGTGAAAGCCTTCCGGGAAGATGACAATTCGGCAATGCTAAGAGGCAACCTGGATCTCCTGGACGAGCACAAACTCCAAGCCAAGCTGAGATGTATAGGCCGGGCTATTTGGTACTGAAACGGGTCACCGGGCTGGACCCGGGACCGTTAAAAGCAAAGTGGGAAGGCCACTACCAAATAACAGAAGCTTTGTCAAACTGAGCGTACCGACTTTCACATCCCGACGGAACCCCGTTCGAATGCCCTTGGAACGCCGTCTATCTTAAGAAGTTTTACCAGTAATCAACTTAGTAGGACTCGGATGTATTGTTTTGATTAAGGCGTCGACTATGTATTGTTTTGATTAAGGCGCCATCTATGTGTTGTTTTGATTAAGGCGCCGACTATGTATTGTCTTGATTAGGGCGTCGTCTATGTAGTTTCGCTTAGGGCACCGCCTGTGTGTTGTTTTGACTAGGACGCTGACTGTATCGAGGCGCATATGTATTGAAAGTTTTCGGGTCGCATCATGCTGCGCAACTAAAAACCCGAACACTAAAGTAGTTCGGCCATATTGTAGAAGTTCTAAAATGAACTCAAAACCCGAACACTAAAGTAGTTCGGTCATATTGTAGAAGTTCTAACACGAACTCAAAACCCGAACACTAAAAGTTGTTCGGCTAAATCGTAGAAGTTCTAAAATGAACTCAAAACCAGAACACCAAAGGTTGTTCGGCCAAATTGTAGAAGTTCTAAAACGAACTCAAAACCCGAACACTAAGTAGTTCGGCCATATTGTAGAAGTTCTAAAACGAACTCAAAACCCGAACACTAAAGTAGTTCGGTCATATTGTAGAAGTTCTAAAACGAACTCAAAACCCGAACACTAAAAGTTGTTCGGCTAAATCGTAGAAGTTCTAAAATGAACTCAAAACCCAAACACCAAAGGTTGTTCGGCAAAATTGTAGAAGTTCTAAAACGAACTCAAAACCCGAACACCAAAAGTCGTTCGGCTGAACTGCCCAGCTAGGCTATAAAAACAAATAATGAGTTTAAAATACACGGCAGAGTTATCCAACACATAAGCAAGCACGAAACAAAACATCCCAAAAAACGAAATGAGGATAAACCATCTCAATTGTAGCATACATCCCAAAAAACAAAGCCAGGATAAACCACCTCGGCAAAATGATCAAAGTTCAACAAAACGGGGACACCCCCCCATGGGAAACAAGTTCGGAGCATATAAGAAACAAGCATAATAAATCAACATCTTCAGAAGAAAGCCGCCTACTCGTCCTGGAGGGCTTGGGAGGCAACGCCATCACCATCCTTCTTCACACCGCTGGGGCCCGCCTGGTCGATGAACAGGCTTTCTTCCACCTTTTCATTTTCCCTAGAGACTTCGAACGGAATGAACTTGAGCGGGGATGGACTCACAGCTTGGAGGTCCATGGCCGACTTGGAGAGCCCGAACATCTTCTTGTTGTCAAAAGTGACCTCGTCCTCGTCAGGATGGAGCTCTCCGGTCCATAGCGCAGCAGGGATGTTCAAGCGGTCGCTCTTCAGCGTGCAGATTCCCTTCATGTCCTCAAGGGATCGCGTGCCACTATCCAATCCATTGATGACCCAGATCAGGGTGAGGGCGGCATTAAAGTCGAGGTCATGAACATACTGCTCGGTCTTTTTGTATTCAGTCGCCCCGCTACCCGTCCCGCGGTGAAACCCTCTTCTCACCCCTTGACTTCAGCCTTCTCTTCAAGCTCCTTACTTTGGCGGTCCACAGTGTTCCACAGTCATACATCTTGTTGAGGTCCTCCTTGGACTGGATTTCAGCTTTCTTATATCCCTCAATTTGCTCGAGGAGCTGAGCCTCGTTCCTCTTCAAGACCTCAATCTCCCCCGTAAAAAACGCGATCTTCTCCTTAAGCATCTTGTTCTCCTCGTTGTCGCTCTTCAGAGACTGTATAACCCCTTCACAAACATCGTGCTCGGTTTTCATCTTCCCATATGCGGCGGCCAGCTGCCGAGCCGAGGCCAAGGCGGCCGAGTGTGCGCAGAGAGCGCGGGCCATGAGACTGGCAGAATATTCGAGATTCTCCACGGCTGTCAGGTTCTGGATACCTTGTTCGGCGGGGATGTCCCACCCCATCAGAGGGACCATGGCCGCCTCCATGACATGGTCTGGCCAGAAATGCGTGTTGTTGACTCTCGGATTAGAAACAGATTTGAATCGCATAAACCAGTTTTTGGCCAGCCCGTCAAGATGTTTATGCTTTTCGGCGCGCTTGTCGTCCACCTTCAAATAGGTAAGAGAGCCGTCCTAGTGCACAGGAGCGTCCTTTTCCTTCCCCAATTCACTATCAGCCTGCTCCATGGCAGACTTACTCGAAACATCTACCCGGTCAATAACCCTCTTGCTCGTCTTCTTCGAGGGCGGATTCAGCAAAGGATTAGCCAACCTCTTGCGGTGAGTCGACCTGGTGGAGGACCTTTCGGCAATCGACGTCTCGACAATCTGGAGATATGCTCTTTCTCGCCTTCAGTAGCAGCAGCTTGCATCTTCGCTATGATTTCAGCCTGGGACGACATCTCGGCGTGGGTGATTTCCACTTCTTTCTCCTTTTTCTTGGCATATCGTTTGGCTCTCCGAACTGCTTTGGCCGAGGAGTGGCCCAAGAATCCGGACAACGGGTAGAAAACTGTAACAACAAAGGAAAGCTTAAAAAAGAAAAAGGGGAACGTAAACCTCTGAATGGACGAGATGAGGATGCCATACCTGGGGTAAAGGAGGTCCCGTGAAAGTCCGAACAGAGACCCTCTTCGATCAGATTTGTACTCTCGACCAGAGCTGGACCACTACGCTCGGCAATCTTTAATTTTAATAACTCCCGAAAGTGTTACAAAAAGAGGTCGCTCAAAACTGGAACGGTGGAGTTCGCTGAAATAGCAGAAGCTGACCCGTTAGTCGAGAAAACAACAGACAAAATTAGAACTCGAAAAAGCGAGATTCTATAAAACTTACGAAACTCGCCAACAAATTTAAGGGGAACGTGATGACGCTCGGTGGTAGAGACATCTTCCCCGGACTTTGGGGTCTGCCAGTCTCCCCCAACCCAAAACCAGTCGATCTTAAAGTCATGAAGGGAGTCCGGTACTTTAGTTATCAACGAAACAAACTCTGTCACCCGAATCGACACTGAAAATAAATCGGCCTTCTTCCTGGTCCGTTTAAAATGAAAAATTCCGCGGATTTCCTCACGCGTAGGAAAACGCCAGCCCTTCTTACGAAAGAGAAAGAGGAGGGCTAAAATCTTGATCCAAGCCAAGGGGGAGACCTGCGTCAGACCTAAACCCCAGTCCTGCAAGTACTCCGTCAGAACTTGCGGCAAAAGGAATCTAAGGCCGAACTGAAGCGTCTTCTTCCAAACAGAGACACACCCCGGTGGCGGACAATGAAGACGCTCTTTCCGGTAAGGAGCAAAAAGTTTAATCTCGTCAGGAATATGCCACGAGCCTCGGAGGGATACGATTTCGCCATCAGTGGCCAAACTCTTAATCATCCCGACGTTAAATAGTGTGGGAAGAGGCCATCTACGTGGGGGTCGCCGCCAACTACCTTCCGGCTCTTTCACGGCCTGTTCAATGTCGGCGTCCGCTTGCGGACTCTCCTTTTCCAGAGGGACCCTAATCCGGCCCATAGTATCCCCCGCAAGAATCTCATTCACACGCTCCATATCGACTGACTCCGTAGAAGAAGACATAGAATAATTACGATGAGGGAGGTTAAATACCACTTACCGAAAAAGGACTGCCGAGACACCTTCGCAAAAAAGGATTGTGTCGCGTCTGTCGCCGTATCTCTCTTCATTCCGTGAGAAATGCTCGCAACAAAGAGAAAAAGGGGGGCAAAAAAGTGTGAGAGGAAAAGAAGAAGATGTATTTAAATAGGCCCGTAGCGCTGGAGTCGAGGCATCACTGCCGCAGCGAGCCAATAGGAATATGACACGTTCGAGAAGCCTGACAGACGCACACCACTGAAGGGACGCGACTACAGCAAAGGGGAGAGGCCCAATCATCATCCGTCGCGTGTCCGTCATATTTAAAAAAGCTGACGACTGGCGTCACTAGCATGACCTTTTATGAGCCTCATTCATAAGCCCTTTGATTTTGACTAAACGGTGAAGATAGTGTCGGGTAAGCCCAGGTACAGTGTCACAAGCAACCTCGACCGACTCGTTCCAGCTCGGCAATATCAAAATAGAAGAAAACCGAATCGCCTCATAAGACGGCCGAGCTTGGGGGCCTGTATGTTGATATCCGAATACGCCTGTCTGTGATGGCACGACACATGTACAAGATGCAGGTGATCTTGGCTGACCCACGAGCATGTCCGGCGGGAAGAGGTTCGGCGCGATAATAGACGAGCTTACACCGATGCCGAACTCTTTGCCTGCCGAAGTGAGGGGACAAAAGTATTTAATGAAGACGGAACTCTCAACCATACCGCCGTCGGGGACACGCGACAACCTATCCACGTCTCCGATGGCCTCCGAGATTCGGGAACAATCATTGTGCATTTAATGAAGGAATAATGGCCAGATTTGTTATAGATTTTGTACTACACATAGTTGTACTACACACACATGAACAGTAAAAGTGAAGTACACATACACATACTATAAATAGACAGGAAACTGAGACTGTCGAGATCTTTTGGCTGGGCACCTAAGATACCCTTACTCTATTATGCCAAACTAGTCGAAACAGTCCGGCATTTCCCCCTGAAATATAAATAACTCAAAAATTCATTATATTCTTTCGTTCGCTCAGCTGTCAAAACTCAACATTCGTTGTTACGAAAATTGATAACAACACACCCAATGCAAGAGATAAGTCTATCAAAGCCCAAGGCTTTTCCTCTCAAACTCGGCAAGTACATTCGGATACACCGCGAATGTTGTTAGATAAACATGAGTTTTGATCTTACGTACCACAAGACTCGGAGGTTGAGATTCATTTTCAAAACTAACCTATTCCTCGTATTCCAAATGAAGTACACGGTTGCTTCGAGCGCCGCTTTCTTCAACTTGGTTTCCCAACTAGCCCCCCTAGCCTCCATCTTAGTTTATTTAAGGGCCCCTTTGAGAGTCAATGGCCTATGACGGAGGCTAACCCAATCACAAATCTCCCTCCATATCTCCAAGCTAAATGGACATTCGAAGAAAAGATGACTCGATGATTCATTCACTCTACCGTAAAGAGAACAAGTCGGGTCTACATCAAGGAACACTAACCGATCCTTTGTACGGAGACGATTGAGCACTCCTAGTCAAAGGATGAAGGAGTGCTTGGGGGTATTGCAAGGCCCCCAAACAACCCTCGTCCAAGACATCAATGTACCACGAGGCCTTAGGAAGTCATAGCAACTTCTCGACCCATCTTGTTTTTCTCGCGAACTCCAACAATGAAGTAGGGCTTTTGCGGCTTGCTCACTATCCGCCTTATCAACCAAAACACGTTGGATCTCGAAGAGATATTTGAAGAGGGGCGAGTCATCCTTGTGTATTTCCCATTCCCACACGAATTTTCCCTCCAAATAAATGTTGGGGATTCACTTGTACCATAAGGTATCCTTCTTGGCTTGCATGTTCCATAGAGTACGTGCAAACAACGATTGATTCCAAGCATTCAAATCCCGAAGACCCAAGTCCCCTTTCGAGCGCGGGAGACATAAGTAATCCCAAGAAACAAGGGCGCTTTTCGAGCCCCATAGGAATCGTCTACATAGTTGTATAATTTTGGTGCGCACCATTGTAGGCAAGTGGAAAATTTTCAACCACAAACACTCAATGCCTTGGATCACCGAACGGATGAGTTCCACTCTTCCGACATATGAGAGTGTGTGGCCACACCAACCGCTAAGTTGAGCCTCAATTTGCTTTACCAAGCCATCAAAGCCTAGCAGTGAATCGCTCCGCGGTGAGAGGGACACCTAGGTACCGAAAGGTCATTGGACCACATTGCAAGTGGGTGGGTGTCGTCAAGGATAGTTTCCCGGCTATCATCTTTGACTCCCGCCAAATAGATGTTGAATTTTGTAACATTCATTTCTAACCCCGATTTGGCCACAAAGTCTTTGAGGCAATTCATGAGTATTCGGATAGACGATGGGTCGCCCCGGGAGAGTAGCATAAGATAGTCGGCAAAGGCAAGGTGTGTGATTTTGAGATGCTCACACCTCGGATGGAATTTGAAGTTTGAGCCCACCCTCGTATTGCACTTGATGAGCCTAGAAAGGTATTCAATACAAATCACAAAAAGAAAAGGTGAAAGGGGGTCACCTTGCATTAGTCCACGCACTCCTTTGAAATGTCTTTTGGGGCTCCCATTGATAGAAAGTCTAGGATGGGGTTGTGACGCACTCCATGACCAATCTCGTGAAGATCAGAGGGAAACCAATACCATCGAGCACTTGCTTCAAGAACGACCATGAGATTGAATCGAAGGCTTTGCGAAGGTCAATTTTGATGGTACACCTTGGGGTAACACGTTTCTTCATGTATTGCCGAAGCAATTGTTGCATAAGGTGGATGTTGTCTGTTATGTTCCTCCCCTTAACAAAAGCGGCTTGGGCTTTATCGATGATCAGAGGTCAATTTNNNNTTCTTCCCTGTATTTTAAAAATTGCGTCAGACCCCCTTCTATTAAGGTTTTGTATGCGCGAAACACCCAAAATCGTCTAAATTTTGGGTGTTTCGCGCATACAAAACCTTAATAAAGGGAGCCTGACGCAATTTTTAAAATACAGGGGAGAAACGCGCAAATTTCGTATAATACAAGGGGGTTTTGTATATTTTACCCCAAAGAAGGATTGACAAAGGAATTTATATGCTTTGTCCCTCAATAGATTTCAGATTTCATTTCCGCCCCCAACTTAGGGTTTTCTGCCCCTCTTCTCTATCCCATCCTCTGTTTTCAGAAATCTCTGCGGTGCAATCTAGTGTTTCCAATTCACTAGTTGCAGAGATTTCAACATCCCCATATCAAAACATGACGACCGTTGTCCCCACATCGGAGGAAGATCCAGCGCTCTCTGTAGTTCGGTTCACCGCCGAGTTGTCATGGGCCGATGCCGGTGCTGAGGTAAAAATTATATTTCTTATATGCAATAGTTCTGGTACGACATTTTTTATTGTATAGTTCACTCTGTGATAATAGCTGTGACAATGGTTCAGAGGTTGATATCAGTTTCTAGAGTGTATGGGTAGCCAATGCCAGTTTACGTACCTTTTTATTTATTATGCTTGTTTAGATGGTTTAATATGCTTATTAACACCTTTGTTCATTGTTTCTGTGATGAATGTTGGCTTTAGATGCTGTTTTCTGATATGATATTTGATATTTTGGAACTGACAGGTTGCAGAGGGACAGGTAAAGAGATTGTGCGTGGAGGCGCAGGAATGTATGATTCAGAACAGGTGGTTGGATTTGGCTTCTTTGATGATTACTTCTGCCGATGTAATTTTCTCTAAAGCCTCTGAGAAAGGTGAAAATTTCTTTCTGAATTTAGGGGGAGATGTTTTGATTCATGTTTCATGTGGATAAATTCAGTGTCATAAATTGTGTGTTCATTTGGATTGAGCAAATGAATCATTTGCAGAACTTCATGCCATTATATACACAAGTTCGATGTTAAAATTTTGTCTTTTAACCTTTCTTAATCTCTGTTTTGAGTTACCGGAAATTACGATTAGCTGTTGTAAGTAGGACACTTTCACCTCTTTTGTTTTGCTCTCTTCATGTCAAGTATCTTTGAATGAGTTCAGCCATTCAATTTCATATTCATGTTTAATCCCTTCTGTTGGATAGTACTTGATTCTCCATCCAATGTTGTTGGTATGGTTGTAACTTATCATTTGTTAATGATTTCTTACCTCAGATCTTGAATGTGTTTACACTGTGATCTGCAACCTTGTTAACAAGCCTGAGAGCCTCGATCAAGTGCATGAGATGGCAGAGCTTATAGCCACAAAGGTCACTCAACAGCCTAATGACAAACCTGCACTGCGCTTAAAGATGTAAGAAACCTATACTCAAGGCTTTTGAACTTTCCAATGCTTGAGTCTAGAGTTTACATTATGTGTCTAACATTTTTTTTTCTTTTTTTCATTAGCTTGTTTAACCTCTACAACCTATTGGACAACCCATACAGCCAGTTTTTTGTGTATATGAAGGCCCTCAACTTGGCCACTTATGGAAAGGTCATTGAGCACATCATACCATCTTTTAGAAAGATAGATAACTTTATGAGGGAGTGGAATCTTGGTGTTAAGGATCGGAGGGATCTCTTTCTTGCAGTTTCCAATATTTTGAAGGATAGCAAGAGGTAGGATCTGTGCATGATTTTTGTCCCTTTGATTGTATGTCTACAATTTACACATAGAATTTGTAGAATGTGTGTACACATGGGTGATAGAAAATGAACTTGTTGAGCTGTTCTTTTAGCTCGAGTCTCAGCTCAGCAAAGGAGTCCTTTGACTTTCTTGTCAAGTATCTGGAGACTTTTTCGAGTGATGATGTTTTGTCTGTGGCTGAAGCAAAAGAAGAAGCCGTTCGAGCTGTTACTGAGTTTGTGAAGTCACCTGACATGTTTCAAGTAAGTCAGTAATGCCACATTTTTTTTGAAAAATGCTACAAGTACGTAATAAATGTACATAGAGGTGTACATAACACTCACATGCAGTGGGGTCCACTTGATTTTTTATTTTTTGTAGGACCCACTTAATGTGAGTGTTATGTACACCTCTATGTACCTAGAGCATCTCTCTCTCTTTTTTTTTTCAGTTGCTTTTATATGCACTTCTTTTGTAGCTTGCTTTCATAAAAATATTGTAGGTGGGTTGCTTTGAAAAATTAAGGTCATAATCCTAGAGATTTATCATTTTTGTGTGTACCAGTGTGACTTACTAGATATGCCAGCTGTAGTGCAATTGGAGAAAGATGCAGAATATGCTCCCATTTATCAACTTCTGAAAATCTTTCTTACTAAGAGGCTTGACGCCTATTTGGATTTCTATTCATCAAATTCTAGCATATTGGGCAGTTATGGTATGACTTCTTTTTTGTCTCATTCTTCTCTGAACTATTGATTTTGATCTGCATGTAGGTGTAATTGAAAATGGATTCTGTATATTTTTACCCATGGGACAACACGCAGGTCTTGTGCATGAAGACTTGGTTTCTAAAATGAGATTGGTATCCCTGGTGGATCTTGGAAAAAATGAATCAGGTCAAATTCCTTACTCCTTGATTAAGGAAACTATCCAGGTATTTTATTTATATTTATGGCAACTCATGAGTCATTCAGCCTTACATATGTGACCTAATAACATTTGGGTTTTCTCAGATTGAAGATGATGAAGTGGAGCCATGGATTGTCAAGGCAATATCGGCTAAGTTAATAGACTGCAGAATTGATCAAATCAACCATGTAGTCGTTGTGTGGTATGTCATAGTATGACTCAGATATCTAATTCGAGCAGTGTAGTGACATATTTATGATTGAAGAACATACTTTTTTGTGCAGCCGCTACACAGAGCGTGCATTCGGGCTTCATGAATGGCAATTCCTTCGATCAAAGCTTGCGGCATGGAGGGTATTTATCCCGAAACCATTTTCTATTTTATTATTATTTGCAGCATATCAACAGATTAGGTATTTAAGGTGGGGTACAATTGGTTTCTCACCTCCATATTGGGGCAATTACAATAGATAATATTGAGGTTTTCAACAAACATGCCCTATCCTTCAAAAGTACGATTACTCTTTTGATACTTGTTTCTGTTTGACAGAGGTAGGATGTACATATTGAGGTGGTCTGTAATTTTGAAAGCTAATTGGGTTTCTTTGATAATTAGGTCCACAACTTTTACAACTTGTAGTTTGCTGCAAATACAGACCTTTGTATCCTGATTTTTTTTTTCCTTGAATGGGCTGTTGTACCTCTCGGCCTTCTGGTTGAAAAACAACGATACACATATTAGCTAATCTTTGTACTTCTTTATTTTTATAAATGATATTCTGGCAGGGAAACATTGCAAATGTAATTAGTACCATTCAAGCGAACAAGATAACTGAAGACAGCACCCAAGCAGTGCAGGGGTTGACCGTCCGTTAAACCATTCTCATTAGCTTACCTGCAGGTTCTGGCTATTAGTATTATCTTTGGCCACAGAGTTGCTTGTGTGCTGAGATTAGGTCCCAATTTGTTATTTTGTGGCGAAATCCTAACATCATTTTCTGGCTAGAGTATTTGTTCGGAGCTACATGACCTGTTTTGACATTTCCATCCTTCAATTACCTGAATGTATCATTTATTTTTAGATAGGGAGTATCGGTTTGCATTTGATTTCTAGTTTGACTTGAAATGGTGTTGATGTGCCTCACCGTGGTTGTATGAAGGAACAGATTCTATGGAAAATGGGAAATGTCGAAGTAAAAGCTGAATTGTATTGCACACGGACAGCGATAATATGGAATACAATCCATTTTGAATATCATTTATATGCGAAAATGGATATAATTATTATTTTTATATGGAGATGGATAATATACCGGACATAAATTTATTATTTATCCATGTAGATGGATATTGGCCCTAATACGTTAAAGTTACTTACGAATTGATAATATTTTGTATGTCAGAGAGGTGTGTAAGGTGCACCAAGATTCATATTTATAACAAATTATTGTATTAAGACTTTGTTTCATTAATGACTCAAATCTAAGACTTCGGGGTATACATATATTAATGAAATTAGATGTTTGTTATTCGGATGATGATATTTTTCAAATCGTAGTTGATTTTTGTGTATTTTAATTTATAAGATATTGCAAAAATAGTCGAAATTTTAGACTAATTTTTTATGTTGCATCATCCTCCCGTCATTCTATACGAGTTTATCTAAAGCTCCTCTAAAGTAGAGTTTATACTACTTTCTTTATATTTGTAGGCAAGTAATTTTAAGAGGTGTATTCAATTGAGATTTTTAATGAAATTTTAAGATTTTAGAAATTCTATTATATTCAATTTAGATTTGTTAATACTTTTAAAAATCTTGGAGTGTTCATTTAAGATTTTAAAAAGTTTTTCAAAATCCTGAGGTATTTAACTTATTTGACACTATATGATTTATTAAGACTTTTTAAGATTTAGTGAAATTTGTAAAGAAGAAACCTTATACAATATCTCACTTTAAAGCTCAACTACAGACTTTAGCTTTCATATAATTCTCCAAAATCTGAAAATTTTAATAAGTTTCAAGTCTTAAGAGGATGGTTGGATTTAAATCATATAAAAAAAATCCAAACATTTTTAACTCAACCATTTTTTTTAACTCAACTTTAAATCAACCACACTATCATCAATATTATCAAGATAATTAAATAGCACCAAACAATCATTCTTACACATCACATCAACTTTAATTCACTATTCATCCACTCACATAATTTTAATTAACCATAACTTCAAATTATATATCTCCTACTTACATCAAATCAACTTTAATTATTTTATTTTAAATATTATTTTAATATACTCACTGATAACTAATCATATCGTTTTTTTTTTTACAAAATTAACCAAACCAAACTAAAAAATTCAACCAAATCTAAAAATTTTTATATCCAAAAATATTATTTTAATGATAAAACGAATAAAGTCGAGACATGTAAGATACGCTCTCCTTAAGACCAAAAAACCCGTATATTGCCCATGTTTTACGCCTAACGCCTTTAAGATATAACGATTTTTTATTTGTGTAAAGTGGTAACTCACATATATAAACCTTCAGCAAACAATACTCAAGTCTCGAAACTCTCAAGTTAGAAACGAACACAAAGAACATAAGATGCTTTATGAACTTTGTAAAAGGATGCAAAGAGCTCTTAAAAATTTAATGTATGTAACTATTTAACTTCATGAAAATTTATAGATGTTCTAAAACATCTCCACGAGGTTCAAGACATCAAAGGATACCTTTTGGGACATGTCCGGTCGACCAAAACTGAGTAGGAGTCTCTTCAGTATGAACAAGTGCTTCAGTGTCGCGTGCTCACAGTGAGCTGTCGCACCCTTCCGCAAAGCAGCACAAGTCGTTGCGCCCAAGACAGGGCCTGGCGCGCAACACAATCAATGAAAGTAACAGTGACATTACAATTCTTAAGTTGAGGACTCCCTAAAACATTCTTCTAATTGTGGGGCCCATTCAAATGTTTTCATTAACATTTTATAAGTTGAGTTTCAACTGGTAGGAACTTCTGTTTGAAATTTTAGGTATCAAAACTTGTTCTTTAGAATAATTTATCCATTTTCTTCATTTCCTGTGGACGAGTAAGTAACGACGTTCCTAATGGGCGTGATAGACGCTTTCAAAGAATGATACCCACTTGGACATTAAGGAAATGACACATACACTATATATGAAAAAAATTCCACCACATAGGGGATGATATATTTCCTTAAGTTCATTTAAAGAAGAAGTGTTAACACTAGCATTATCAAATGAAATGGAAAAATGTTTTATACTAATGTTATAACTATTCAATACACGTGAAATTAAATGAGCGATATTAGAAGTATTGTGAGCGTTATTAAATCTCGTATAAACAATTAAACGTTTTGGTAACATAAAACTATCATCTATACAATAACAAATAATTCTCATGTAATAATTATCTTACCAATTATCGAACCAAATATCACAACAAATAGAAATTCTTTATTTTAAAGCTTCGAATTGCGCCAAAATTAATTTTTTCTCACCCGCAATACTTCAAACATCGCGAGTGAGTAGTACGTGGAACCCAAGACGCAGTTGTTGATGGATGGGTCCGATCAACGGTTAAAATAAATGATATTAGGAATGGAAAGACGAGGTAAGAGAGAAATGCAGAGAAAACGGGAATTTTTTATATAATTACGAGTTCGGCCTCTGTGGGCGAGGTCGGTGTTTTATTACACTTTTCTCATCACAGGGATTTGTTGTTGTTCTTAGGGAGAGAAAGTAGAGAGAATGCTGAGTTAGTTGAGATTCAACAACCTAAAATAAATGAGAGCATCTTCTATTTATAGTGGTCTTTATTGCGTCACTGTTCCTCTACTGTTCACGCTGTCTTGTCATACAGTAATTCTGAAGGACAGATCGACGTTTCTCTGACTGATTGCGCGTGATTTGTGGGGTTTTCAATCATCACCTGTAGAGCATTTAATGCTGGCATGAGTAGCATTTAATGCGGACAGGCCTTCTGACGGGGCTAGACGTATTAGGCTGTCAAGAGTATGGGGACACGTCCCATTCGCAATCATGGGCTGGTAAGAGGAAATATCATATTGTTATCCAGCTCCGCGCTTACCCACGGGGTAGTCGGGCTAGAACTCCGGGTCGGCCCCCGAGCTTATCGTCTTCTTCTGGTCTCCAGGATCCTTATTCCAGACCGTCTTCTAATCTAGGTCGGCACCTCCACCTTGGCGACACAAGTGCCTCCCTCGTAAGCGGAGTCGCCTGGGTTTGGTATTTCTTTCGGTTCGGGGTTCAAATCGGTTCCTCCGCGTCCGGGCCGGACTGCCGACCCGGCTTCCAGAGTTCGCCCAAATCCCTTTTGAGCAGACTCGAGTGTCAACAGCAGTCGGGTTTAAAGTCATTTGAGCAAAATTTTCATAAACCATAATCACCAAAACCGAAAGAAAGACGAAACATAAACAAATTCAACTAGATGCGCCTATGGGTTTCATGAGTAGTACATGTTCCAGTTGCGGATGCAGTGCTACTACTTGGGAATTGCTTTTGGGTCGTGGGAATCCCCATTTCAGACGGACAGTGTGTTTGTATGTGTTGTTGCATCTGTACGCATCGCTGCTTTTGAAAGCGTACTTCTTGGCGTTGGGTGGAAAATGCTTGCAAGTACATATAAAAATATTTGTTCACTTTTTTTCTCATTGGGCACCTTCGTAAAAATGTCTTGTGAATATGTCAGATTTCTGCCCTTTGACCCCCGTTGAGGTTGTTCATCTCCTCCACCCTGAGTAGGATCAAAATCGTCTTCATACGAATGCTACCAATCCTCGTCGTTCTCCTTGAAGTGTAAGTTCTTATGGATTTTATCAATAGAGTTAAAGACGCGATCTACCGTCTCGGAATCAACATTATTGGGTAGAGCCGAAACATCCCAGTATATCTTCTGCGTTAGCACCGGTAATGGAGGTCTACTCGAAGATGTGCCTACATTTTACGCTTTTATGGCTGATCACCGGCATCACTACCACGACCACCACGAGAACTCACATTTTATAACTCGGTGTTGGATAATAGATGATATAGAATAAAAGAGAGACGTGAAACCGTGAAAATGATAGAAATTAAAAATATAGAGTATTATGTAGATAATTTATAGAACCAAAATCGAAATGAGAGAGAATTTATATAATCCGAACCGAACCGAATTGATTTTATCGTGAACTATGCACAAAACACTCAAATATATCACTTCAAGAACTTAGAAATGAGTAGAGAAATTGAGAGATCAATGTTGTAAATTGTGTGGAATTTTGTATTTTAGGGGAGGGTATTTGAAATTTTTTTTGGAATTTTTTCCGTTCTTTTTTTATCGAACCATCAGTTTCGAGTCGACTTGACGGGTCAGATGAGTCAGTTTGATCCTGACTGTTGGATCTGCAACGGTCACAAAATGAAACAGTCTAATTTAAAATTCTGATCGTTGGCGGTTCCTGGCAGGCTGATTCAGAATCGAAATCGGACCTGAAACCGTATTTAATAAAATAAAAATGTCCATTGATCTCCAACCGTAAAAAATAACCAACGGTCCAGATTTAAAGAACTGTCGGCCTCACATGGGTTCTGGGCCAACCATGAACCGAACCCAACGGTAAACATACTTGTATTTAGGTGAACCGAAACCGACCTGACTAAAATCACTTGCCAATACATGGCCCCTTCAGGCCGAACTGGAGGTCATGTCTACCCACAGCCACAGGCCATAGTGACATAATGTAAATATGCAATAATTAGTATTTATTCTGTTGGTGTGGAAAGTGGAAATTCCGCTCCACCGACAGTGCCCCATTGAAATCTCCAAATGAGAAAAATATGGTTCAACAGAAGATATTCCCACGCAACTCTTTCAGCTTTCATACCTCTCATTACAGTTGTATTCTTGCGGGCATTTTTCAAAATCTACTGTCGGCAATTAAAGCCTTCCCCTCTCCCTATCTCTCACGCTCAAACAACAAATCAAGATAAAGAAGTCACCAAAATAATGTTATTGAATAGACTTGTTGAATATTGTTAGAGGCCGTTGAAGGCTTGAAGGATTAAAAGTCCTAAGTAAAGCTGCTCTTGAGCAAAGCTTCTGCCACCATTTGATTTGTTCTCTTTCTCTCTCTCTCTCTACTAGTTGAGTTGCAGATCTTGAAAGCAAGAACAGTCTGCAAGTAGCCGAAGCAATGGAGCTTGGCTTCCGATCTCTATTGAGATTTGCAGCCCCCACTTTTTTGTTGCTTTCTTGTTACACCTTCACTTCAACTGGTAACTCATTCTCTCTCTCATTCAATTCTATTTGTAGTATATAGTCAAAAACTAACTTCCGTTGTGGGATTGCCTTAAGAAAAGATTTAATCTGGATGTTTGCTAAATCGGATGTTTCTAGCATCATAAGTGTGTTAAAACTTAAAGGGGATTGATTCTTGGCGTTGAAATCATTAAAGCATCGGTAACTTATTTTAGTTGTTCAAATCTCTATGGGAATTGCTGAAATCTGTTGTTGTCTTTAAGTTTTCAGTTATACATATATATATATATATTTATGTTATTTCTTTAACTATCGTTGCTCAAAAGGATGATTTTTTTCTTTAAATATATAACATTGAATAAGGGCATTTTACAAGGACCAGAATTAGTAAAATCATATTGAATTGTATTTAACTGAGTTGTGGGGGGCGGGATTGGTTTATCTGGTTTATCTCTTAATTTAGTGAATTGGATGAGATTAAATGTGGGTTACATGACGAAAGGTGTTGCAATGAAAGTGTGCTTACTCATGTTTTTGTACTCTTTCCAGAAGCATACGATGCACTCGATCCAAATGGAAACATCACTATCAAATGGGACGTCATCAATTGGACTCCCGATGGCTACGTGGTAAGTGAAAGCGCATGAGAGTTAGCATGTTGAATTTCAACTTGATGAATGAACCAATTTGTAATTTGTTTGTATGGTCGAACTTGATGAATGGATTTATTTCTATTGTATTGTAACAGGCTGTTGTTACGATGTTCAACTTCCAACAATACCGCCACATCCAAGCTCCTGGGTGGAGCCTCGGGTGGAGTTGGGCGAAAAAGGAAGTGATATGGAGCATGATGGGCGGGCAAACAACCGAACAAGGAGATTGTTCGAGGTACAAAGGGAACATCCCACATTGCTGCAAGAAAGACCCCACAATAGTGGACCTCTTGCCTGGGACTCCTTACAATCAGCAGATTGCAAACTGCTGCAAAGGAGGAGTCATCAACTCCTGGGCTCAAGACCCTACAAATGCTGCCAGCTCATTCCAGGTCAGCGTGGGAGCTGCGGGGACCACCAACAAGACTGTGAGGCTCCCAAGGAACTTCACCCTCAAGGCTCCTGGGCCGGGCTACACGTGTGGGCCTGCTAAGATCGTCAGGCCCACCAAGTTTGTTACACAGGATGGGAGAAGGGTCACTCAGGCTACGAGTAAGTACCATCAATTATTTATTAATTTATTTATTTATTTGCTATGATGGAGACGAGGTCGCGATGGCATTTATGGAAAAACGTGATCGTATACCATCGTTAGTTTGATAATTTAGTTCCTATATATTTTACTGTTATGCTTGTATTTTCCGTTTTCCTAGTTGGTAGATGAATATTTAATATTATTTGGAATTTACTTGTTTAGCGAGATAGGGATTTAGACTTGTTTGGCTCTGTATATTGTGTCTTTCTTCGTCAAAGCCAATCGGCTATTTTGAATAATGATATCAGATTTTGAGATTTTATATCTTATGCCCCCTTTTGTTTACGTTGTGCTGCATCACTTCCTTTCGTCAACTTGAACCAAATCTATAATCAGAATATATTTTAAGATATACAAGTTGTCAAGTTCTAAGTTTGTGTGTAGAAACAGAATTTTCCCATTTCCCTATTGGTAGCTTCTAATTTCATAAGGGGTATGAAAGCCGAAGAGTAGACATACCACTTGAAGTTGTGAATGAATATGGATCCATCATGCATGGGAGAATAATATCTTGGGGCGAATACAAGTTTACTTATTTAATTCTATAGTTTGGTCGAGTATGTTTCAAATTATTATTTTTTTCTTGAATTGTTTCTAATACCTCCTTGAACTGATTACAGTGACATGGAACATCACATGCACATACTCACAGTTCCTAGCTCAAAAAACTCCTACATGTTGTGTCTCATTGTCGTCATTTTACAATGACACTATCATCCCTTGCCCGACTTGTACCTGTGGATGCCAAAATAACCTTACTCAGCCTGGGAGCTGTGTCAAGTAACTAAGCTTTTGGCTCTTTAAATTTTTTTTCCCCTCTCATTTTCAAATATTTCGTGAAATTTATTTATTTTTTCTTTTGAATTGTCGCAGTCCTGATTCGCCATATCTTGCTTCGGTTGTTTCGGAAAGAGGGAGGAGTAATAATCTGGCGCCTCTAGTCCAGTGCACCACTCACATGTGCCCCATTCGGGTACACTGGCACGTGAAGGTCAACTACAAGGAGTACTGGCGTGTTAAGGTCTCAATAACCAACTTTAATTACAGGATGAATTATACGCAGTGGAACTTGGTCGTCCAGCATCCCAACTTTGACAATTTGACTGAGATTTTCAGCTTCAATTACAAGCCTCTCAATCCTTACCAAAATATAAGTAAGTGCGGCTATGAAGAAGTAATTTTTTTTTTTTTTTCCTCTTATGTTGATATAAATGTCTTTGATATGGTTCATGTGTGATCTTTTTGGGGCAGCATTATTATATAGATAACAAAATTGCCAAATAAAAGAAAAAAACAGTTCAACGTTTTCTTTTATGACTCTAAAACTCCATTCCAGCATTATAAATATCCTATTGGGTTTTGCATTTTGTTTTCCAAAGTGCATCCCTCAACCGGTACAATTTCTAAAACACGCACAATCACATATACAGAGGATTTTTTCTTTTTTATATTTTCTTCGATTACTTCATGCTTGCCTTCTCTTCCATGAGTTTTAGGTTGTCATTGGAAATGATCAAGTCTCGGGAAGTTTTTTTATTGGTTAGACAATAGTCATGTGAGGATAATTGAAGAAAAAGGACGACGCAAAATTGAAATGGAATCCGATGCAAAATAATGATCCAGAATTGATAATTAGGAATATTTCAGTGTGCGAATAACAGAATTTGTGAAAAATGTGTGACTTGTTATCTTCTGTTCTTATAATGTGTTCATGATTGGTGAAAGAAAACTCTGTGTGTGAATTGTATTTTTGTTACAATCTTCCTTATACAATCAGTTCTACCCTAAAAATCTCTCGACAATAAAAAAATCATGTGAGATTCATTTTGATTTATTTAGTTGGAGGTGAAAGCTAATGCAAATCATGTGAGAATCATTATTTCATTTTTCTGATTCAATAGATGATACTGCAATGCTATGGGGCGTCAAATTCTACAACGACTTGCTCACGCAAGCAGGCCCACTAGGAAACGTGCAGTCGGAGCTTCTTTTCCGAAAGGACAAAAACACATTCACTTTCGAAAAGGGTTGGGGTTTCCCCAGAAGAATTTATTTCAATGGTGACAATTGTGTCATGCCGCCTCCCGACGCTTATCCATATCTGCCAAACGCGACTTTGCGCCAAAGTGTCTCGTTTTTATTGCTACTCATCTCTCTCTTATCGTCTTTCCATTTCGCGTGCTTTTAAGAATTTCGGCCCTTGCTTTGAAACGGAGGGTTCTCGTTTTGTGGCATTGGCTAGTGGAATGAAAGAGCTAATTGAAAGAATTTGTCATATATGTGGTGCAGGAGTTTGGCAAGAACTTTGTGGGGATGTTAAAACTTTCTTGCTTACTGTAATTTTGGTTGGATTCAGTGGCATTTTTTTAGTTTTGTAGTTGGAATGTACGACTTGTATTGTTTATATAGTATTTATTACAGGAATTTTATTTCGAATAAGAACAGTTTGATATATACAGCTGATTGTAAAATATTTTAAATTATTTTTTCTCATTGCTATATTATTATTATCTGTTTGTATTTTTTTTTATTCACATGGCCGCTATTAGTTATGTATATTTGACGTGGCGTATCTTATAGTGGAGACGTCAAAATTGACGATGAATGAGATGTTGGATTTTAGACGTACGAATCAATCGCACACGCAGCAGAATTTTAAATTTTTCTTACCAACAAGGAAGATTTGGCTATAGCTATTCGATTTATCCTAGATCGGATGATAAACGAAAACTTACAGTTGTTCCTAAGTTTCGTCTTCTACTATGATATCCATGCAATCTAGATCTCGATGCACGATCCAACGCAATGAATATTTCTGGTGAAGACGCTAGGAATCCTTAATCAGAAAGCTAGAGAGTGTTTTTGTGTTCTTATGGCCAGGGCCTGGCCCAGGGCAGCATGGGCTACGGCCCAGGTCCAAACTGAAGGAAGGGCACCAAGTCAGCAACAGCCCATATATTATATATAGTTACTAGGCGAATTTTTTTACACACCACAAGATACTAAACAAATTGCAATCCTATCATGAGAATGATTTTATTTGCATATGTACCTAAATAAATGCATTTAATATCGGTGAATAATAAGAATCAGTTACCAAAATAACAGACACCCTATAATCATGCCATTATCTCATTGTTTTGAAGAAAAAAAGGGAAGTAAAAACAAACCAGAATCTTGTTGCTATATACACGATATGTTTTTTTAAAAAAAGGAAAAAGATCAGATTTTGAAAAAATCCGTCATCTCAAATCGGTATATATAGCATTTATACATAATATATACAGAACATATACACAAGATATATAGAAAACTTATAAGTCTGCGTTTATACATAATATATACAAAAAAACATACACAAGATATACAGAAAACATATAAGTCCGGAAAATATACAACGATCGAACATGTACACAATATACAATATATACGAAAATCAGTCCATATAACATATACAGAAAAATGATCAAACATATGCACAATATACAACATATACACAATATACATAATATATACAATAAAAAACAATATATTTGTCTGGAACATATACAGAAAATATACTCATTGTATACAGAAAAATAAAATCAAGGTTGTTATTATATACATACAGAAGATATTTAGTTCTGCCGATTTAACTTCTACTGTACTACACAGGTCTTTCAAATTGATGGAGAAAAAGTTGTCCCCGTAACAATACACTTCGATAAATATCTCAAATCCCAAAAAAATATCGTAATAAGCAACAAATCGCGAGTACAAATCAACTCCCAAGAAAAAAAATACTGCCCCGTCGGTCTGCATCTGGTGGCTCGGAGGTCAGGTCTCGGAGATCGTGGCTCGACGTCGGAGATTGAGGCTTACGAAGGTCTCCAGAAACTGAAGCTTGATCGCCGGTGGGTCAGGTATGTAATTTGGTCGCGAGTCTGCTCTGCGTGTTTGGGTTCAACTCGCCGCGGCATGAGTGGTCGGCTCTCGTCGACGCGGGGATTGACGCTTTTGGTCCAATGGACTTTGGTCAAAACTTTGCTGCTTTTTTTTTTTTCCCGAGGAAGATGACAGAAAAAAAAAGAGTTTGAACGGGATTGAGATGGAGCTCGCCCGATCTGTTGCCATAAAATTGAGATTTATGGTAATTTTACTAATAAAATAATAGTTTGGTATAAATGCAATAAAAATTCTATTGTATCATACGTTGTGCAAATTCCTCTAGTTACTATATATATTTATTTAATGTAATATTAAAGAAACAAAGCCCAATTTGGCGAATGGGGCACAAGCAGCAAGCCAATATATTATATATAACTAATATATACCTTTATTTATTATTTAAAATGTTAAAAATGAAAAAAAAATTGTAAATATGTTTTTAACATGGCAAACGAACTCAATTACTCAACCTTTCTTCTCTATTTTTTCCAGACTTTCAAGTCTCGATTCTCTCTTTGTCTGTTCATCTTCCCCAATCTCCATCTTTCTCTTGTTTCTCAAATTTATTTTTTCCCTTTCAACCTTTATTTTTCTTATTCACCATTGTTCCCTCTTTTCTNCATCACTTGCTTAAAAAATTGTTAATTATTTCCAACAATTTTAGGATATTTTGAATCTTTTATTTAAAAAGGTTTATTCTGCGAGCTACTAGATCTAATGCAACAAATACGAGGAGTTTGACATATTATACCAGTTTATTTCATTATCGGCCTAGTTTCGGCCATGTCAGACAGACAATCCTACCCAGCCGACGGGAAAGGTGATTATTTGATGCATCAAAAATTGTTCTGGAGACATTCTTTTTCTATTGACGGACTATGACATCATCTTTTGGAATGTGAAAGTGGCTCGAGAGATTATTTTTTTGTATGCTTTATGAGATTTCTATTAGACCCTTTGTCTTTAACTTTTGTGGTGAAGTTGTAATAAAACATTATACAAAATTTATTTTGTAGAAAAAATATTGGATCGTTGTTGGTATTATTTGAAATGCATCATTTTATTTTTAAGAGAAAACGAAGTACTTGGGGTAATATTTTTCGTATTTATCCCACGGCCTACTAATGTTCAGGACCGGCTCTGCTTACGGCGTATACCTCTTTTCTCTCATCTAATGATCGTTAAAAACTACAATTACCTATTTATAATTAGGTCAAACCTAAATATATGGGCCTTAGGAATCCTATAGTCTAATAGGTAATTGGACCTAATCCAATTAATAATTTAATTAAGTATAAGTCCAATTTAACTTAATTAAATATTTTCTATCAAATAGAAAATAATATCATTACTCATAAATAAATATTCCAATCGAATTGAATATTTAACACTCTCGATTCACTCTTAGTCGGAAAATGTATTGCATATTGTGTGTCTCCATAAGCCTTCATATATTGACATAAATCTAATTTATGATTCTTACGAAACTCCTAGATTGCGTCGAAGGACGAACTCAAAATATGAAGTACGTTTACATAGACAAATCAAACAAACCTTTAGTGTAGAATTCAATAGTGATACGATACCTTCATTCATGAACCACTCGATTAAGCTTAAGACTTGAACGTGTGTCTATCCAAACAGTTTTATCATTTTATTTCATCTTACTGGTTGACTTTATCAATTATATTTGAACACCATTTCAAATATAATCACGTGCATTGGTCAATGACTTTATCAACCCAGTATAGAGAAAATGAGTGTTCTCTCGAAACTATATTCGAGGAACGAATCCTATCTTGGCTCAACTACCAATTTCATGTATATCGTGATCAACCCAACATAAGCCCGTATCTACCGATAAGGGCGTAAGTGTTGGACTAGGTCTAAGTAAATCACTTTATACATGAATTGCGTATTGACCTAAAGTCAAAGGACTATTACATCATTCCACACATAGATACTCCCATAGACACATAAACAAATAATTTATCGATAGGCTATATTAACACTCTTCAAAGTATCCGTGTATCCATCACGAATAACAATTATTCATAGCATTGAGACATACTATATTCTCCAAGAATGTGATGCAGACCCCATGTCAATCTATCGTGTATCATTAATATCCATTTCTTAATGATCATCAACTGAGGCGATTTGAGAGTTATACTTTACTTTTCCTTTTTGTCAGACACTGACGATTTTCATATGTATGCAGGATTGCATAGGCTGTATTGATGGTACGCATATTGAAGCATGTATTCTGGAGAAAGAGCAATTGCTCTATAGAGGAAGAAAAGGAATCCCTAATTTCAATGTCATGGCCTCAAGTGACTTCGACATGTGTTTTACATTTATATCGGTTGTGTGGGAAGGTTCAGCACATGACACACGTGTCTTTCTTCATGCAATCGAGACATCATCTATGAACTTCCCGAAACCTCTTGAAGGTAATTTATATTTTTTTTATAATTGTGTCCAAAAAAATATTAAATATATCCCCTAAATTTAAATTATATTATTTTTAAGAGGTCGATATTCCTTAGTTGATAAGGGATATCCAAATCGAAAAGGATATTTAGTGCCATATCCCAGGATAAGATACCATCAGTCTGAATTCCAACACGAGTTGCCAAATAATGCAGGAGAAGCATTCAATCGGGCTCATTCATCTCTTCGAAGTTGTATCGAAAGATCATTTGGAGTATTGAAAAAGAGATGGAAAATACTAAGTAGAATGCCTAAGTTTAGTGTTGATACACAAATTGATGTGATAATGGCAGCTTTTGTATTGCATAACTTCATTCGGATCAATTCAGATGATGATTTGATGTTTGGAGTGCTTTAGAAGTATCCAGAGTACATACCCAATGATGAACTAGAAGATGAATCTGGTTCACATCCTAACTACGACAATTCAAGAGAAACCAACAATGTGACGAAAAATATTCGCAATGATATTGCAAAGATGATTTGGAGTGCAACAATATAGGTTGTATGATTTATTTCTTTTGAACAAAAATATTTATCTTTCTTAAGTGAATTTTAGTTAGTTTTTTTTTTTTAATTGAAAATTGTATTTTTTTTTATATTCAATGGAACTAATAATGATCATATTAATAATTTTTTATAAATATTATTAAGCTAAAGATGCACTTTTAAATTTCAAGTGATTATATTTTTTAACTAGCTTATAAATTATTATTAATTAGTGTGATTTTTTATTGAAAATTCTATGTTTATTTTTTATACGCTTTTTTTATAATCAATGAAAATAATAATAATAATATATATATTAATAGTTTTTTATAAATATTATTAATCTAAACATATACTTTTAAATTTTAAGTAATTATAATTTTTAACTAGTTTATCAGCTATTTTTGTCAAACACATTTAATAAACATCAACTAGCTTATCAGCTATAAGCTATCAGCTATCGGCTAGCTTATAAGCTATAAGTTAGCTTATCAGCTAGGTTTACCAAACACACCCAAAATAAAATATGATACCTCAGGGCTTGATTGAATATAAAATATCTTGAACTAACCAAATAGTTTTTTTAAGTCACATCCAACTCGAACTTAACTTAACTTAACTCAATTCAATATTCTTCGATAGTATGAATATAATTAAATAATATCAAACAATTATACTCACACATCACATCAACTTTAATTCACTATCAACTCGCTCACATAACTTTATTTACTCATTACTTCATATCGCTGCTCTCTCGTGTAGACCTGGCCACATGCTTGCCGGGGCCGGGCCAGTGGTCTTGCTGCGGGGTCTTGCTGCTCAAACACCGGAGCTGGGTTCTAGGGTCGCCGGTGCGCACGGCCTTCTCGTCGTCGGTGGCCTGGTACTCCTTTAATCGTCTGGATTGCTGCTCGTGGTACTCGCCGACTGAGGCCCTCGGTGCTCTCGGGTTCGCTGCTGCTTGGCGCTACTCTTGGCACATGGGCTCGGCACTCTGCCAGCCGGCACTGGAACAAAAGGCTCGGTTACCGGTGGTGAGCTTTTGCCGAGGGATCTACTTTGGCCGAGAGGATGCTTTTCTTCAGATGGAAGCTTTTACCGGCACTGGAACAAAATGGTGCTGGTAGTTAGGCTAGGGCTTCTTGAACCAATTGGTGGCGGGTGGAGAAGATGTAGAAATGGAGTCGAGAGAAACATGAGCTGAAACGGGCTGATAGTTGCTAAGAAATGTTTGGGCCGAATAATATGGAGGTTAGTTGGGCTTGGTGGCGGCTGAAATTGNAAATAATTTACTATTACATATAAAATAATTTCTATTAACAATAAAAAAAAATAGAACGTAGGTTTTTATAACAAATTTATGAAATATTGAAAGCTAAAACAACAAAAAATGAACATAACAATAGTCCCCATAACAATAATCACCCTAACAAGAAATCAACACAACAATAACCAAAAAAAAAAAAAAAAAAAAAATTCAGATCTAGATCATGAAAAGGCCGATTCCACATCCGATTTGAGCCATTTTTAGTCAGATCTCGGCGACAACAATAAAAAATTTCACGCCAACAACACCTAAAAAATATGTTCTGCACTGAATACATGTTCTGTACATGTTCTGTGTATGTTCTGTTTACGTTCTACATATGTTCTGCAATAAAACTGGATCGGCGATGAAGAGATGTATATGTTCTGTAATTGGAAATATCTAAGTTCTGTTTACAGATTTCTTGTCGTGTATTTCCTGTATTTTTACAGAGATAGTACGCTTGAATTTCAAATTATATTTTCTTCCATGCTGATATGAACAAGTTCCTAACAAATAAGTTATATCCACATACCTTTTTTAATTTTTTTTTTCAACTGAATTACTATAGGGGCGTGATTGTAGGAAGGTGAAATCCTTTGATCGGCCGTTTTCAATTCAGCGTAAAATAAAGACACTTCAATTTGGTATGTATGCTAATAAAATATGATAGCTCGTATATTTTCAATATATTAAAATTCTTGTGGTAAGTAAAAAAATTCTCCATTAAATTTAGACACTTAGGAAAATAAATTAAACAATTTGCACACTTAGCAAATTTCAATTAAAACACTTATCACCTAACACAAATAAACATAAAAAGAACTTTGCTAAAACAAGAATACAAATGAGGAATTAAGAAGATGAGGGCATCCTCTTAATTCTCGATATTTGATAAGGTAAATTAATTAGAAAAATTAAATAGATGAAAACATCTACTTAATTTTCATTTTGATTAAAAGAATTGAATCAAGACTTAGTCGATCTATTGATGAAATGCACAATGAACATGCTATACTTTTATTAAATAAACGAAGTGTTACACTTACTAATCTTTTCTCTTAAATACTTAAATACTATTGAAAATTCTTCATAGTAATCTTGTTGATCTTAACTAT